GAGGAAGTGTTTTCCAACTCATCAAATGTGTGTGTGTGTGTGTGTGTGTGTTTATTTGAGGCTTTAGTTAACTTCTTAATAAAAAAAGAAATTTGCAACAACTTACTTAGTTTAGGTTTTGGAAGTTGTCTATGAACTTTGACAATTCACAACATCCTTCTATTATTATTAAAGTGAAGTAAGAGTTTTTTTAATCTGTTCATAAATTACACCTAAATGCCAAGGATAGGGATTAATGCATTTCTAGATTGTTTTGTTGTGTCTCATCAATCTTTTCATGTTCTTTCATTAATATGCTAAAACTTGCTTAATAAGGAAATAATGTAGACCTGCACAACACTCTACAGATGGAAACTCAAAGGAATAAGGTGATATTTAATAATTTCTCAGGAAAATCTATACCTGGATGTGGGACTTTTGAGAGACACTGACTACGTGTTCTTGGATTATTTTACATTTTAGATTTTAATACAAAAGCAAAAAGTAATTAGTGTGTTACAAGAATGTGAATTGTGCTGTTAATATGCCAAGGACTTAAATTCATTTTTATGTTACATGTGAAGTACCAAACACTTCATTCTGTAGATAAAATCTGTAATTGTCAGGTGGGAAATTGAGCTGCATTTGTTTATTTGAATGTTATATAACACTTTTTAAAAAACACTAGACAGGTTGATGTTTTAACATGAATGTATTACAACTACCTCTCAGTTAATTCTCTAAACAAATGAAATCACCGTATCCCCACCCATTTCACAAATAATGGAATTGCTCCAAGATTTTGTGCCATCAAAGAGAATAATTATAAGAGTCGTATTACAAATTACAATGACAAATTCTTAATGATCATGTCCATTGCATTAGAATTTTTTCTCTGCCTCCAAATAGTCTATTACTACGGACTTCTTTTTACAATACATGGATTTCAAAAACTGTGGATACAGCCGGACAAGTAAGTTAAAATTTTGTGAGAAGAATTGGGAATTAATATTAACTGAGAAAGTAGATGTTCATAAAAACTTGATGTGAAATTTTTCTTTTCTACCTACCACAGTCTCCAGAGAGATTATTAAAATATTTTAATATCAGAATATTTTAATATTCTGACAGCACCATATTAATAATCATTATCTTGTGAACTCAAGGAAAGAATCTCATTATATAAATTTAAATATATATTGTTTTAGGTTGTAGATTCAATATGTTGTAGAACTATTAGTGGAGTGTAATTCTTATGCCAATATATCAAATGTGTTGGTTTCTATATAATTTTTAAACTTTCTGTAACTGGATTATGTACAGAGTTTTTAAAAAATTTTTCCTGTCTTGTGATTTTGTTTCCACTAATTATTTAAAACTATATTATAGTCCTAAAACTTTAGTTATGTTAAACTTTATTTAATTGCTTATAGGAGTGAAATCTAAATTGCAATTTCTTCTAGAAAAAATTATAGCAGGAATTAATTAATTTGTGTCTACTGATTCAATGTTTAACTTGGAAATTTATTTTTAGGTACATTGCATTAATCCCCTCACATTACTGTAATGTGTGTTTTTTGCCTTATGTACAAATTAGTAACCTGTCAGGATCTTTATTCTTTATCGAAACAGGTAAGGCATTTATCACTATCATACATTAGTATTTCTCCCCACATTTCTCAGAATATTAAGTAAGTATTGCCTAATTCATTGAATATTCCTTTCAATATTTTATTAGACTATTGCAGAAACTATTGTTTTTAAACATTAATGTTTAATTATTAGGATAACAATAGTTTTGGATTCAAACAGATCTGTCTATATATGCAAGTTTCATTATATAATATTATTTTATTTATTTATTTATTTTTTTGACAGGCAGAGTGGACAGTGAGAGAGAGAGACAGAGAGAAAGGTCTCCTTTTGCCGTTGGTTCACCCTCCAATGGCCGCCACAGCCGGCGCGCTGCAGCCGGCGCACCATGCTGATCCGAAGCCAGGAGCCAGGTACTTCTCCTGGTCTCCCATGGGGTGCAGGGCCCAAGCACTTGGGCCATCCTCCACTGCACTCCCGAGCCATACCAGAGAGCTGGCCTGGAAGAGGGGCAACTGGGACAGAATCCGGTGTGCCGGCGCCGCAAGGTGGAGGATTAGCCTAGTGAGCCGCGGCGCTGGCCTTGTATAATATTTTTTGTTAGTAATAGTGAAACCTGCATCCTTACTCTGTGTTAAGATGATTTAATAGTATAATACATGTGAGATGCTGAAAACAATGTCTGAACTACAGTAAGTGCCCAAAAACTCTAGCTATTATTGTTATTTAACTTTTTGTCTCTTTATTTTCATATTGAAAATGACCCTTTTATAGGAATATCATGAGGATTAAAATTTGTGCCAGGCATTTAGGATTATTGATAACTTGTAGACATGGTTGTAATTCTTTAAAAATTAATGGAAGGATACTTTATGTATTAGGCACTTATAGTTAACCTGATGTTTTGATAATTATGTTCATAATCCTACAAACTGATATGAAAATCATTATATTTTTTGAATAGGATGAATGTTTCTTCTCAGTTTATACTTCTGGAGATTACATAAGAATGGAAATAAGCGTTGAAAACATTTTGAATTTCACAGGGACATCTACTTGTTTACAGATAAAAGTAGCAAATACATATTATCAATAAGCTTTAATAATCACAAAATATTTTCTTTTTAAACTTAGATATGGAATATACAAATAAAACATCTATCCAGACTTTTCAATCAACCAAGAAAGATATGAAAAAAGATGTTCACACCGAGAATTTAATGGCTAATTTATCTAATACTTATGCTTCAGGTATGGATGTCATTAATAAATACTTTCCCTTTATGCTTTTAAAACATGGACTCCATGTGATCTACATATTTACTGAATCAATTAGTTGTCTTTAACATCTGATCTTTTAACTTTTGATTAGAGATAGAATGACTGAATCATTTTGTGGCATGACAATCAAGTAAAGTCCATGTATGGGTGATTTTCAAAGGCTGCTTGTTCCAGTAGCATTAATCTAAAATGATTGATTTTAGGGAAAAATTATTCTCTATTAAAAAGAATCATTATGTCCTTAAATGTGTATATATGAAATGCATGAAGTTTATATACTTTAAATAAAATTTAAAAAATTTTTACTAACACTAGTGGTACATGTTTATGGGCTATGATGAAACATCTCATTGCATGTATGTAATGTATAATGACTAAATCTGGATACTCCACATTTCTCCTTCTTTGACTGTACTTTATGTTTGGAGCCTTGGGCTCATTTCTTGTTTGCTCATAAAACATTTAATAGGAGTTTGTGAACTCTAGTCAATGTTCTATGCTATGTAAAACTAACAAAAAAATTCTTTCATTCTAACTCTGATTTGATACCTGTTATCCAAACTCCTTCTGCCCTGTTTGCCCTCCCTAGCATCTAGTAATTACTACTCTGTGTTCAGACTGAGTTTTCTTAACTTCACCATATGAAGGAGAACGTGTAGTGTTTGTCCTTCTGCATCTGGCTTATTTCGCTTAACATGATGTCCTTTAGTCCCATGAATTGTGTTGCAAATGACAGAATTTAACTCTTTTATGATAGAATAATATAATATTCCATCTGCTTACCAGATGTTGGACTCTGGTTGACTACATATCTTGGCTGTTATGAATAATGCTACATTATCTATGGAGCAGGGATCTCTTTGATAGGAGATTTTTTTTTTTTATCTTTTGAATATATCCATATATCCCCAATAGTAGGACTGCTGGGTCACAAGGCATTTCTATTTCCAGTTCTTTTAAGGAATCTCCATACTGTTTTTCCATAGTGGCTACACTAATTCACATTCTCACTAACAGTGTATGGGCTTCTCTTTCTCCACATCCTCTTCAGCACTGTTTTTTTTTTTTTATCTTTTTGGTAATATTCATTTTGTAGTTTTGATTGCCTTTACCTGATAGTGATGTTGAAAATTGTTGGTTCTTTGTATTTTTCTTTTAAAAATGTCGATTCAAGTCCTTTGTCCATTTCTTAACTACATTATTTTTGTTTTGTTTCTTAGATTTTGAGTTTTGATGCATTCTGGATATTAATCCTTTGATGAACAAGCAGCTTGCAAATATTTTATTAGTTGATTTTTCACTGTTAACTGTTTCCTTTCTTGCACAGAAGTTCTGAGTTTGATAGATTCCCGTTTGTCTAATTTTGATTTTGTTTGTTTTGGGGATCATATCAAAGCAATCATTGCCTACACCAACCTACATTTTGCTCTGCTGATTTCATGGTTTCAGATCTTACATTTAGGTCTTTAATCCATCTTGATTTTTATATGGTATAAAGTAGAGATTTACTTTCATTTTTCTACATATGTGTATTCAGTTTTGCCAGAACCATTCATTGAAAATACTATCTTATGTGGGTTCTTCACAACTTTGTCAAAAATAAGTTGGCTGTATATATTTTATATATGTATTAGTTTTGGGTTCTGTATTCTGTTCCACTGAACTATGTGTTGGTTTTCATGTCAGTACTATGCTGTTTTACTTAATACAGCTTTTTAGTATGGCTTGAATTCAGATATTTTGATGCCTCTAGCTTTATTTTTTGCTCAGGATTGCTTTGGTTCATCTGCACTTTTTGGGGTTCCATAAATTTTAAGATTCCTTTTTCTAGTTCTGTAAAGAATGTAATTGGTGTTTTGGTGAGAATTCATTAGCTTCATAGAATGCTCTTCGTAGTATGCACATTTTAATAATGTTCATTCTTCCATTCCATGAACATGGGATATGTTTCCATTATGGCTGGGGAGTGTTTTTTGTTATATTTATTACTGATGCCTTAAGATTTTCATTGCAAAGATCTTAAGATGAAGATTTTTATAATGGTACTTAGGAAAAATATTTATTTCTTTATTATTTGGCATAACCTTTGTATATGTTTAGTTTTCAGTGACAACTCTATCCCTTGAAGATTTGCTTGGCCATTGTAGTTACTGATGTTACTGTTTATCTCTTTTACTCAGATTTGCTGCCATCCAAGGATGACAAGGATTTAACACAATATTTTCTGCTACAAGTAGTAGATATTCTTCTGAATTACATCAAAAAAACATTTGATGCTAAGAGTAAAATATTGGATTTTCATCATCCTCATCAACTCCTCGAAGGTCTGGATGGATTTAACTTGAACCTGTCTGACCATCCTGAATCTCTGGAGCAGATACTTGTTGATTGTACAGATACCTTGAAATATGGTGTTAAAACAGGTGATTTTTTTTTTCAAATTGATGCTCCTGAAGTGCAGACTGACTGAATAGTCTTCAGTTTACATTTGTGTTAAATTGGCTGCAATGCATTCCTTATTTAAAAACATGTTTATTTTTATATTGATCTCATATACAAATGGCTTATTAATTAGCAAGGAAGAGTAAAAATGATTTTGGTTTAGGAAATTTTTTAAAAAGGCAAATACACGTAAATATTTACCTATCATTTTTTCATTTACCAACTTCATTTTATCATACTCAGTATTGATGTTCACTTATTTTCCTTCCTTGCCAATTAAACTACATGGATGAAATGATGGATATGTCAAAAACATATATCAAAAAGATACATGGGGCCGCCGCCTGCAGTGCTGGTATCCCATATGGTTGCTGGTTCGAGCCCCAGCTGCTCCATAACCAATCCAGCTCCCCACTAATGTGCCTGAGAACAGCAGACGATGACCCAAGTCCCTGGGACCCTGCACCCACATGGGAGGCCCAGAGGATGCCTCAGGCTCCTGGCTTCAGATCCACCCAGGTCCAGCTGTTGCTACAATTTGGGAAGTGAGCCAGTGGATGGAAGACGTCTCTCTATGAATCTGCCTTTGCCTCTTTATAACTCTGTCTTTAAAATAGATAAATACATCTTTAAAAAACAGATAAGCATCTTATATATCACAAAATGTTTTATGATTAAGTTAACTTGATTTTTAAGAGATTAGTTAATTAATTAATTAGTTTGAAAGAAAGAGTTACAGAGAGAAAGGGAGAGACAGAAAAAAAGAAATCTTTCATCTGTTGGGTCACTCTCCAAATGGCTGCAATGGCCAGTGCTAGCCAGGCTGCAGCCAGGAGCCTGGAACTCCATCCAGGTCTCCCACAAGGTTTCAGAACCCAAATGTTTGGGCCATCTTCCACTCTTTCCCAGGCACATCAGCAGGTAATTGGATCAGAAGTGGAACACACCCATATGGGATATTGACATTGTGCTTGGAGGCTTAACCTACTGCAACACTATGCACTCCCCTGTAACTCAATTCTTAACCTTTTAAGGCAATGATACTTCCAGGAGGAAGTAGTGTAATAAACTCTATGAACCCCTATTTATAAAATCTTGAGTATGTACAAACTGTATTGGAAAAAGCACTATCTTTTGAAAGAGTCCAAAAAAATGATGCCAAAGTACGTTGCCCATGTTTAATTTTATTCATTGCTTATTAGGTTATCTTGGAAATATTTTTGTATTTTTTATATTTATAAATGTTATCTGTGTGATGCCTTGGATTTGATAAATAACAATTACATGGACGTTATTGTGATCAGTATTTTAAACATCACAAATATTGTATCTTGAGACCAATTGCCATGTTAATGAAAAAAGATGATTTACATTTGAGGATGCTCAGTACTGCATTAACATAAACAACAAAAACAAATATATCCTTAGTTTATATTATACAAACTGTAAGTATCCTTTGAAACAGTTACTATGCAATATTAGTGCTTGAAATTCTGAGAAATCCATCAAGTTTATATCAAAGATACAACATAAAACATGCTGACTATGACCTTAACTATTTACTTATATTTTAATTATATGCTTATATCTTCATAAGTACAAACACACATATAGTAAACAATCTTACAAATGTATTTAATATGGATAGGTAGATTACCTCTGCCTCTGTATGCACAGGAAATACATTTTACAATTGTAATTAATCACATTTGGGCGATTATTTGTTTGATGTCTTTTCCTTCTACGCTTGATCTTGGCCAAAAGGCTGAGAAGTGATTATGTCTTTTCCTTCTAACTGTAAGATTCATATGGTAGTGATTGTGCTTAGCTTGGTTTCTATGGTATCCCCATGGAAATGATCCTGCCTTTTCATATAATGGTTTCTCAATAATTTTACTGAATGACATAATTTTTAAGTGTACTTAATCTATGCCCACCTGCTGACTGAGGAACTGCTATCAAATTTAGCCATGTTTTAGCCCTGTGTTTCTATTTTGGTACTTTTGCAACATTGTCTTTGTTTCTAGGACATCCTCGCTACTTTAACCAGCTCTCAAGTGGACTTGATATGATTGGACTTGCAGGGGAATGGTTGACAGCCACTGCAAATACCAACATGTAAGTATCCTACATGTAAGGATTGAGAGTCAAGATGTAGATTGCGTAACTTGTATTTTGCTGGCTCTGATGCTTGCTGTATCAAGACATGTAGTAAAGAGAAGAACAAAGAAGAGAGGAGAGGTGGGAAGTGGAGTGGAGGGGAGTAGAGTGGAGGAGAGGGGATAGGAAACACATTTGGTCGATATCCTGGGAGAAATGCAAAGATGATGCCGCAGGCTTCACAAATGAATTTGAGGTTTACTTGGTCCTCTGGAAAGTCATTCTCGGGAAACTTTTAGGAGCTGAATTCTTTGGTAGAAGGTAAAGCTCAGTTGATTTGCCTAAGTCACTAGTGTGGAGAGTCAGGTCTCAGCGTCAGTCTTTTCAACACTACCACAGATGATCCACAATGCACAGTAGAACAGAACACAGACAGGTATGTGAAAAGTTTCTTGAATTTAAGTTAGAACCTCAATATTATTAAAGGTGCACAAAGTAAACTTTAAAAAGAAAGGTTAAATTCAACTCCAGTATCATTCTTTTAAATTATTGACCTTTGCAACAACAACATTTTGGGCCAAAAGAAAATTAGATATACTGCTGTAATGTTTTGAAGTAAAATTGATTTATCAGGCAGTATTTTTCAAGGTTAAAGGGGATAAGGATAAAAAAAAAAAGATAAGGGAAAGATTGGATGTTAAATTGAAAATAGTCTGTGTCAAATGTTAATATAATTTAATGAGCAATCAAAAGAGACAGCTGGTAGATATTTAAATTTATAACCAAGAACTAAACATTTATGAGGAGAGATTGCCCTGCTATACGGAAAACCTGAGGTTTATTTTAACTGTTTAGATATCATTGAGTTTTTAATGATGCAGAGTTCATGGTAGTAATTCACATTTTATAGAATTGAAAAGCCAATGAAAATGCCCTTTACAGCTTATTGCAATTTTAATTTTTATTACTTATTGTAGACCGCTATTTAAAACTTTATAGAGCAATACTTTTAAAAACAGAATCTTTTGAGACAATGTATTGTGTTCTCTGTGTTATATAAACTATTACATAAAGTCAATTTGCAAATCAAATTCACTATTTGGAATGCCATTGTTATAAAATTTAGCCATTCCTATGTGAAGAAAAAAAACTCTTGGGTTTAAACAAACAGTGGAAAGGACAGAGAATGAAAAGGATAGTTTTTACTTCTGAAGTTCCTTTATCCTTCATTCCTTTTTTTTAAAATTATTTTATTTGTTTGAAAGGCAGAGTGACATAGAGAGAGCGAGACAGAGATAGGAAGGTGGGGGAGAGAGAAAGAGTGAGAGAGAGAGAAACTTCCATCTGCAGGTTCACTCCCCAGATGGCTACAATGGCTGAGTCTGGGCCAGAGTGAAGGAAGTCAGGGAGCTGTAACAAACACCTGGCTCTCCCACATGAGTTGTAGGGGCCTTAGCTCTTCAGCTGTCTTCCACTGCTCTCACAGGTACATTAGCAGGGAGCAGGATCAGAAGAGCAGCCAAGACTGCTGGTGGTGTTGGTGTCACAACTGGGATGTTGGTGTCCCAAGTGGTGGTGGCCTGACCTACTGCACTACCACTCTTGGAATTAAAATCTTAATTCTAGTAGTCAATAGAATTTTTGAGTGTGGGTTTCTGACCACAGCCAAAAGTTAGTTCAGATAATTGCAGTATAGATTCATACATGAATGCTTGATTCTTGGACTGTAGTATCCACCTGTAAGTGACTGTTGCCAAGATGCCCATTGGTAGGGAAAAGCAAGAAATTATTCTCAACCAGGTCTCCTAGGATCAAAAAGTTGCCCTATGGAATATTCACCTTCCTTGAACTAATAGTTGAGTGTTCTTGGGGCTCCCAACATAGTCCTCTGCATGTCATGCTGCTTTTTATCTTGAGAATAATTGAACCCCTTCTTCCATTTCAGAACCTGCTGTGAATACTTCATTGTTTACTGTGCATGGCACAGAAATTTTATAGCCTTTTGAATCCCCCCTTCTTCTTTCAGAGACATTGAGTTCAGTATGACTCAGAGAGTTCCCATTTGGTCCTCTCTGAATTTTCTTCCATGAGTACCACATTATTTTTGTCATATAATGTGTTCTTTCTTTACAGCTGTTATTATTGAAAACTTAAAAATTCTTACTCCTTTTATGATGTTTGCTCAAAATACAAAAATTCTAGAGGACATTTATCCATCAATTTTAGTAAATAATTTTTCTGCCTCTTTCGTGTACTATGAAATGTTGATTATAGCTTTATATCTCTGTCTTTAAAAATGATGGCTTGGGGCCAGCATGGTGGCATAGCAGGTAAAGCTGCCACCTGTGACTCTGGCATCCCATATGGTCTCCAGTTCATGCCTCGGGTGCTCCACTTTCAATCCCTGCTAGTGGCCTAGAAGAACTAGGGGAGGATGGCTCAAGTGCTAGGGCTCGGCCTTCCATGTGGGACACCCAGATGAAGCTCCTGACTCCTGGTTGTGGCCATTTGTGGCGTGAACCAGCAGAAAGAGGACCTAACTCTATTTCTCTCTCTCTCCCTCTCTTTCTTTAAATCTGACTTTCAAATAAAATAAATACATCTTTTTTAAAAAGTTGGTTCTTTATTTATTTGTTTTTACATATATCAGAGGCAGATAGAAAGGAAGAGTGAACTTTCAAACTCTGGTTTACTTGACAGATATACGCTAAGGCTGGTGTTAGGCCCAATCCAAAGTGAGGAAGTCAGTCCAAGTGTCACACATAGGTGACAAGGACTCAACTACTCAAGCCATTACTGCTGCCTCTCAGGGTCACTGTTGGCAGAAAAGTACAAACAGAAGCTGGAGACAGCTATTGAACCTACCTACTCTAATATGATTTATGGGCAGCTTAACTGCTAAGCCAAGCACTCATCCCTAGATCTCTGTCTTTGCAATTTGTCCAATAAGAAATATGTATATCAAGGTACTTCGACAAGTTCATGGAAAAGTAGAAAATAAATTTATTTTTATACAAAATGTTCTTCAAATCAATGCAAATTATTTTTTATAATAGGTACTTTCCGTGAGCTTCTTGAAGACCATTATCATTGTATACATATATGTATGAATATATATGTAGTCCTAATAATTGGACATTTTCAGGTTAACAAAAGTATTCTGTGTGTGTGCATAAGGATCAGGATTTTTTCCTCTTAATGAGAAAGAACTTCTTGCTACAGCACAAAACATGAAAGTCATGATACTTTCCTTGTAGATCAAACTGAAAAGTTATTTAGACCATAAAATCCTAACCATTTCCTGTACAATCTGTCATAGAATATGTATAATTTAGCCTCTTCCATTGAAGAGTGGAATGTCTATTTATCTTTTATAGGTTTACCTATGAAATTGCCCCAGTATTTACCTCAATGGAAGCAATTCTTCTTAAAAAAATGTATGAAATTATTGGCTGGGGAGAAGCAGAAGCAGATGGAATATTTTCACCTGGTAAGAAACAGCAAGACCTCATTTGAATAAGCTAACTGAAATACCTATTAGGAGCCACTCAAAATATATTTCAACTAACATGATTTTTGAAAGATGGTCATAAGTCATTGTGTGTTCATAAACTTTTCAGGAATCTAAAAGTGCATTTCCAGAAATTTAAATTACATTGTCTGATTTTTTTTTTCAACACTTACAAAGGGAGGATATTTTTATAATGGTATCAGTGCTATAGTACCATTTGAGTTTCAGAAAGTTCTTAAATTGTCATGATTTCAATGTTCATTTATGATTATTAAAATTTTAGTGATAGCCACTATTTCTCTTCTATAGGTGGGAGTATTTCAAATCTCTATGGTATCCTAGTAGCCCGCTATAAACTGTACCCAGAGATAAAAACAAAAGGCATGGCTGCACTCCCATGCATTGTGTTATTTGTGTCTGAACAAGTAAGTATCAAGTCTAGATTTTTCAAACTTCTCATAATCTTCTAAGACTATTAGTGATGTGCTTACATTAAATATATTCAGATAAGTCTGGATCTACATAGTATAGGCTCCATAGATAAGCAATACAAGTAATTCAGAATTAAATTTAATCTCAATACATGGGAAACTAACAGAAAAAAAAGATATTATGAATATAAAACATTGTTATCTTTACCAGAAAAAAATCAAGATATAAAAATTTCAATGATGTAAAAGTCATTCCTAACACTGACTAAAAAGAACAAGAATTTAATGAATTTTTTTTCTGGTTAAGATCAATCATATGAAAATAAAACAATTTTTATAGATTATATCCTTAGCCAGATATTTGTGATATTTACACTTCATCTGCTGATGTCTCTTTTGGTTTTAAGTTCACTTTCATGCATAGTATCAAAACTGGTAATTACCAAACTCAAATAGGCATTAAACAAGTTTACTTCATAAAGTTTGTGGAAAATGAGGGAGGGAGGGATTGAGGAAGGGATGTACCATTATGTTCTTAAAGCTGTATATATGAAATACCTGAAAGTTGTTCCTTTTATATAAATAAAATAAAAAAGGAATAAACGGGCTTATATTGGTGCAACAATACTTTGAAACCCATACATTTGAGGAGTTTTCAAAAAGTTCGTTGGTAATTATTTTTTCTATTGAATTATAATGTGTTATTTCTCTAAAACAAAAACAACAGTTTGAAGTTTTTCACAATAAAGAACTGTTAAATGATTGAGGAGACAGATGTGTTTACCTTGATTGGGCATTGCATATTGTAAACATAGCTTGAAATATCCCATGGTACCTAGTAAATATTTACAATTTTATGTGTGACTTAAAAATAAAAACATTAAACAAATTTTTAAAGAATACTTACATCTGTTTTTAAAAAAGTCCATTGAAAATGTGAATTATGAAAAAAATTACATGAATTTCAATTTTGTGCAGCAAATAGACTTTTTAATTCAATTTTTTCACAAATTTTTGAAGTGCCCTAGTGTATCTATGTTATCAAGTTTAGAACCAGCAGTATGTATTAAATGCAATTTGCTGTAAGACTTAATATAAGTTAATGTGTTCACGCCTAAATGTGATTCTACTATTTCATATACAATTTGTTAAAACACAGTGAGTAAATGAACTGAAATTCCCCAACCTGTGTTTTCTCCATTGATGTATAGAGATAGTGTTTTTAATTTCTGTATTTTTTCTCTCAAGTAAGTGTTCTTTTCCTAGCAATTAAAAATAACCTAAGCAAAATTTGTCCTTTGAGTGGATATCTCCTTCTTCCTAGTGGTATAATTTACATAATGTAGAATAATCCAAGGAAACAATGGTTTAGTAGAAGGCAAAAAACCAAACATGGTACAGTCAGAACCGAGAATCACAAGTAAATGAAGAATCAAGGCATTGTTCAACTCTCAAACTTCAAAATAAAATCTGTTACTCAAGAACTGGTGCTGTCCAGAGAAAGAAAGGATTTATCTAAAGGATACTTTCACTAATTTTTTTTTAATATTTTATTTACTTATTTGAGAGGTAGGGTTACAGACAGAGAGAAAGGTCTTCCATCCTCTTGTTCACTCCCCAAATGGCTGTGACTGTCAGAGCTGTGCTGATCTGAAGCCAGGAGCCAGGAGCTTCCTCGGGGTCTCCCACATGGGTGCAGGGGCCCACACACTTGGGCCATCTTCCCCTGTTTTCTCAGGCCACAGCAGAGAGCTGGATCAGAAGAGAAACACCTGGGACTCCAACCGGAGCCCGTATGGGATGCCAGCACTGCAGGCTGAGGCTTAGCTTACTAGGCCACAGGGCTGGCCCCTACTAGCATGCAATTTACAAACAAAATGACTTAACATGTATACCGAGAACTATTGTGTTCAAGTCAGCACTACAGAAGATGTGTTGTGTTCTGTCACTGTGCCTCCCAAAAGAGGTGTGCAGTGTTCTTCATCCCGAGAAATGTGCCCTGGGCCTTGGAACATGCCCTAAGATCTGCACAAGCCCATTCAAAGCTGTAATAAATGCCCCCAGATGCACTAGTGCCTGAATGGTGATTTGATGCTGGAGAGTGAATGCCTTTTCTATTTTTGCCCAAGGGTCATTACTCAGTGAAAAAAGCTGCAGCAGTTCTTGGGATTGGAGTCCATCACGTAATTGAAGTAAAATGTGATGAAAGGTATGTTTATAAATATATTCTCAAAATTTTTATTACAACTATATAGATAAAAATTCAAGTTTTCTGTTCTTAGAAGATGTATTTATTTATGTGAAAGGCAGAGAGAGAGAGAGAGATCTTTTATCCTTAGGTTCACTCCCCAAATTGCGTCAGTGGCCAGAGCTGAACCAGAACCCCAGAGCTTCTTCTGGGTCTCCCACACAGGTGCAGGGGCCCCAAGGACTTGGGCCATCTCCTACTGCTTTCCCAGGCCATAGCAGAGAGCTGGATTGGAAGTGAAGCAGCCTGGACTCAAATCAGCACCCATATAGCATGCCAGCACTGCAGGTGGCGAGTTTACTCACTGCACCACAGCGCCAGCCCCCAATTTTTCTATTATTTCAATTTTTAGCAAGAATACCTTCCAACATTTCTTGCATTCATATTTAATTAGAAGTAATTATGAATGAAACAGCGAAGTTATCAATCTAATTAAAATTTATGTACCAAATAGAGTCTCAAATTAGATTGCCACTCATCTGTCCCCATTTCATGTTTGCAAAATATTCTCAATTATCAATAAGATATTTAGATTAATAGGCTACAAAGTGAAAATATGTCTCCAGTTATCTTGAGACTCCTTTTCAGAAATAAATGACAAATTTTATATTCTAAAAATTTTAAAATCAAATACACATTCTAAAAGGTATATTCATATCAAATGATTCATACATCAATACATGTTTTATTTTATAATTTTCTTTCTTAATCTTTTAAAAATTCTGCAATGTATCTTAGCAACTTTATGTCAGAAATTCCTAGGACTTTATTCTTTTTTAATTACAACAGAGATATTCAATGCATAAATGCAACATAATTCCACAGGCCTTATATTTAAAAAGTGATTGATGTGTCTTTTTGAAAATTTTAGTATTTAAAAACAATGCTTGAATGAATCTAATTATGTAAATATAGGTGACTGTCTTTGTATGCATGTTTCACGTGAATTCCTAGAAGTGAATCATTGGCCCAGAAAATGTGTACATTTAGTACTTGATAAACATTTTCTATTTTCCTTTCAAATATTTTTGTGATGACGTTTTTATCTGCAATATGAAACCTGAACATTATCAATATTTTAATAGTTAGACTATAAGAGAAAAAAATGAGTATCCTTTGTTTGAAATAGTGGACATTTTTAACATATTGACTAGGAAATTGTACATTATCAAAGTTATCTTTTCATGTTCTTTACCCATTTTATTGGTGGCTTATTATTGCTTATGAGGCTTATGAGCTTATAAGAAATCATTATACACTTAGAACATGGAATATAAAACATCTTATAAATATATTCCATAAATTTACTATTCAGTACTCTATCTCATTTTTATTTCTCTTCATTGTCCCTGCACATCTCCCATGAATTGTTCATCCTAGTATATTTTATAGCATGTCTACTGATAGGAACTGGATTTTTCTGTTGATAATTGACAATAATTGATGTCAACAAATCAGAACATGATTTACTTTGCTAGCTACTCAACTAGCTCAATAATATTATTTTCAAAACAAATTTTGGTATTCCAGTATAAAAACATATGTACAATTAGGTTGTTTTCTATCATATTTTCTATCTACATATCTACTTTTTCATCTATTAGATTGTATTTTTCAGAAAATATAATGTTAATGATAGTAGGCATTCTTAAATTAGTCCTGGATTTAATGAGACAGCTAGGAATGCTATTACTTCCAAAGCTAGATGGAGTAAAAATGAATATATTGGCTTTTTAAAAGGTATTTTTGAAAAAAACCTATCTCAAAGGAAGGCAGGCAGACAGGCAGGCATGGAGAGATCTGCCATCCACTAGTTCACTCTTTGTAGCTACCAGGGCCAGGCTGGGTCAATCCAGCTCTCCCACATGACTGGCAGGGATCCCCGTATTTCAGCCGTTACCTCTGCCCCTCAGCGTACACATTAGCTGGAAGCTGGAATAAAACGTAGAGCAGGATATGGGGCAGTGTTGTCCCAAGGGGCAGCCAAACTGCCACATGAAACAGTCTCCCTGGCTTTTTTTTTTTTTTTTTTGGAGATTTGCTGTGAGGAAATGTAAAGCCACCTTAATTCATGTTACCTCTTCTCCACCCTAAATTTGGCTGCTTGTTTTTTTTTTTTTCTTTTAATATCAGGAGTTATTTATAATTAAAATTTAATAACAACAAAGGAGGGGCCGGCACTGTGGCATATCAGGTAAAACCGCCGCCTGCAGTGCCATCATCTCATATGGGCGCTGGTTCGAGTCCCGGCTGCTCCTCTTCTGATCCTGTTTTCTGTCATGGCCTGGGAGGGCAGTGGAAGATGGCCCAAGTCCTTGGGCCCCTGCCCCGAGTGGGAGACCCGGAAGAAGCTCCTGGCTCCTGACTCCTGACTTCGGATTGGCACAGCTCCAGCCATTGTGGCCAACTGGGGAGTAAACCATCGGATGGAAGATATCTCTCTCTCTCTCTCTCTCTCTCTCTCTCTGCCTCTCCTTCTCTCTCCGTGTAACTCTGATTTTCAAATAAATAAGTAAATATTTAAAAAAAGGAAAAGAAAGGAAGGAAAGAAGGAAGGGAGAGAGAGAGTGAGAGAGGAAGGAAAGGAAGCAAACTTTATCCATCTGTTTCTTTCTTAGAAAGACCAAAATTTTCTGATTAGTAAGTAATGTAGATTCTAAGATGATCTGATAGTAAAATAAGCCTTATCTAACTCACACAAGACAGTTTTAAGGAACTAATTTTTTACCTAATACTTCTTTATGTTGACTAAGCCTCATTTTTCTTTTCTCGTGAATCATCTCTTCTTCTAAATGGTAGGCTTGGCATGTTTATTCACTTATAAGAAAACAATGTATATTTGTATTTCTAAGGGGAAAGATGATTCCAGATGAGTTAGAGAAAAATGTATTGCAAGCAAAAACAAAGGTATGTTTTACAGTTTCATATTTAACATGGAAATATATGTTTATCTTATTTTTTATCTATTTTCATTAGTAGAAAATAATTGATAACTTGCTGAGAGAAATAAAGACATCCTTAAATGTAGAGGATTACTTATAAAATTGAAATGGAATAATTAAGTAACGTTGTATCATTTCTCTAATATAAATACATTATACAAGAGGAAAAGCTATCAGGGTTTTTCCTATATAAAATAATATGATCATCTCAAATTTGGGGGTGTTATTGTCTTAACTTCAGGGAGCAATAATAATTCTAATTCAGATGCAAGAATATCAGATTCATCTTCTGTTTAAACTACCTCTTCCAGTGCTTTTTGTATCTCAGAATCTTGAAGTTGTTAGTATTTAATGTCTTTCCATGTAATTTATCTACCTGAAGTACAGAAATGTAGTGGTAAAGTAACAATATTATCGTTCTTGGGGACTTCATGAGATTGCAAAATGACTCAACTTTTGCCAACACCAGGGCCAAGCTCCATTCTGTGTCATTGCCACAGCGGGAAGCACGGTGTTCGGTGCCTTTGACCCTCTGCATGCTATCGCTGATGTTTGTGAGAAGCACAAACTCTGGATGCACGTGGACGTAAGTCACCTCCTTCAGTCTCGCTCATAATTTCTCTGTTAAAAAAAAGTGGATCATACAGAAATCCTTGAGGATTCTTAGTAGTCATCGCATGCCAAATAATTTCTCTGTAGCCATATTTCTATAAGGAATAAATATAAATCATAATCTTATTTAAATAAATTATTTTAAAATATACTATATATAGCACAGAGAAGACTACAGATATATCAAATGAATTTAAAAATTTAAATCCCTCTCAAAATTCAACCCAAAATTTAGAACATTGGCATGAAAATAGTCAAACAAGACTTGAAATTGAAAGGCTTAGTCTGTTCTACTAAAATACATTTTTATTAATATTTATTGAGGAAGCCAGATTTTTTTGCTATTATTTTAGTACAATGACTTTTGGCAAAAAAAAAAAAAATTCCTTGGCTTTAAAAAGAGTTGGATGAATCTAAAGTTATAAAATATAATAGGGATTTTAATTTTTCTGTAGCATTGCCAAATTTGAAGCCAGGTTTTAAAATCTGCTTTTGGAAATTATACAGAAGGTGTCTGTTCCAATTAATTAGAAATCTAAAACTTTAATGTATTATGAATAGGCAATGAAAATTCATAAGAGGACATTTCAAATGCAATATTCTTCTAAGCAGGATAATTGTAACCAAGTGTACAATTATCTGGCATAGCAATTAAGTCTTCATCAACTTTTGAAATAAATTTAACATAGAAAAAGCAGTTGGTGTGGTTTAAAAAGAGAAGATTCATGTCCTTTGAATTTGTTGCAGGCCGCATGGGGAGGTGGCCTGCTGCTCTCCAGAAAATATTCCTATAAACTTAGTGGCATTGAAAGGTAAGACCTGGAGTGTTGCTTGTAGAAGCTAAAGAGCATATGTAGGCTTCTGTTACTTTCCATGAGACTGTGGCTGTGAACTGAACCTGTTTTGTCACCTAGGGCCAATTCTGTGACCTGGAATCCACACAAGCTCATGGGAGTCCCTCTTCAGTGCTCTGCTATCCTTATCCGAGAGAAAGTAATATTTTTTTCTGTTTTTAACATAGTGACATGATGGATGGATTAGTAATGACTAGCTTCATTATAAACATTTAAAACCAAAATAGTTGCAATCTCACCTTTTTTTTTTTTTTTTTTTTGGACAGGCAGAGTGGACAGTGAGAGAGAGAGAGAGAGGAGAGAGAGAGAAAGGTCTTCCTTTATTGTTGGTTCACCCCACAATGGCCACTGCGGCCGGCGTACCACGCTGATCTGAAGCCAGGAGCCGGGTGCTTCTCCTGGTCTCCCATGCGGGTACAGGGCCCAGGGACTTGGGCCATCCTCCACTGCACTCCCGAGCCACAGCAGAGAGCTGGCCTGGAAGAGGGGCAACTGGGACAGAACCCGGTGTACCGGTGCCGCAGGTGGAGGATTATCCTAGTGAGCCGCGGCGCTGGCCGCAATCTCACCTTATTAAACATATTGTAGCATGATTTACCCTACTGAGGCAGACTGAATCCTTCTCCTTGGTTCTAAGCAGCAGCCACAGGTTAATTAAGACCTCACAGGATCAAATGGCTGCAGTGGACAGATATTAACCCAGCGTTGAATAAGAGTTCATGTAAGACAATAGACAGTGATAGGATCTATAGAAACCTTAAAATCCATTTTCATTTATTAAAACCATCATAACCGAACAAAATGTATCTTACGATTCAAGTTTGGCCCACTGCCCAGTTTGTAGTCTCAGAATACAGGGTCAAAAATAGGGTTCATTGTAAGTGCAGATCAGCATGAGTAAGTGTGATACAGTTTTTGCCTAACAGCATAAATTTGTGAGTTGTATGAAGTTACTTTGTTACATGTGTCTGTATTTTATCTTCACCAACATTGAATGTGATACCAGGAATTAAGCCCATGATCTCCAAGGAGAAATAAAATTATGAAGTCCAGCTTGACAGTATCATACCAACCAAGTTTTTAATCAAATTAGGTGTCCATTGGTGGATGAATGGATAAAGAGCATGTGGTATATATACACAATGGAATATTATTCAGCCATAAAATATCATAAAATCCTGACACATGCAGCAAAATGGGAGGTAGGCAAATGCCACTTGATCTCTGTCATGTGTGAAAGTAAAAATAAACAAGATTGCCTTGAACTTAGAATAGTGATTGCTAGAGGCTGGAAAGGGTAGGGTGAGGTGCACTGGAGGGAGGTTGGACAATGGACACCAAAACACAGGCAGACATAGTAATGAGGCTTGCTGTTGCATAGCAGATGGGGCTGGCTGTAGTTCACATCTTCATCATATTCCGTATAAATGACTTCAAGAAAGGACCTGGTAGCCTCTGAACACAAAGGAAAGATAAGGAAAAGGAAAGGCTGGGGGCCTGGTGTGATCAGTATATGATGTGTAAATGTGTTGAAATAGATGTACTGTAATCCATAAAAATGTGTGTTCCATGTTAAACAAAAATATAAAAGGAAACACATAATTTAAAATAGAATTTCTCCTCCAAAAAGAAAATTATATACAACTAAATGCTCAAGTGTACTTTAGTAAAATTTTTACTGTGAAAAACACACAGTTCAACTAAAATTTTCTTATATCTACTCAACTGTCAGAAATGCAAGCACTTTCTACCTAGATATCATTTATATATTTGGGAAACATGTTTCCTCTTTTTTTTTTTTACAAGAAATCCAGTTTCTTTATGAAAAAGAAATATCTATCCTCAACCTTTAAACCTTTACTGTTGCTTCCCACTTACCCCTTGAGTACCTAATGCCCATCTCTTTCTCTCTAATTCCGAGATTATCTTTATTCTCCCAATCTAAACCATTCTGCTCCTCAGATTGGACCTAGTAGCTCTGAGTTACCTACAGGTTCAGTCGGCCACACAGCAGCAATACGCTTTTCATAACATGCCAGCTGCTTCGGGCTTGAAGCCTGCAGGTTCAAGGCTAATCTGTCCCTTCTAACGTGTGTCCAGTGCCCAGGAATATCAGCTTAGCCATATCGTTTTTTTTAGACTTTCACAATCGTATTCACTGTGCTCATTGCTAACAGGTCTGTCTTCAGCTTTCAGATCCCAGATACATTTTGGTTTGGATCGCAAACAAAACCTCTGCAATATTCTCTGATTTCTTAGTCCACAGTAAGCATGTTGAAGTAGGAATTTTATTCTTCATGAACAGCTTATTGTGAGTTTTTTAAAAGAAGTTAAGTTTGTTGTTTTGTTTTGCTCTATTTTATTGGCTTTTTCCTAAAGATGAATAATCAGTGGAGGTGGAATAGAATCCCAAGACCATTTCCATTTTTGCTATTTTTAAGGTCATTTGTAGAAAAAAGCTAATTTTGAGGTAGCGTTAAGACAGGAGGAAAATTTGATTCTTATCTAGTAAACTACCCCAATGCCCAAGGTCCTATAGAGACCATTGTAATGATTAGGACAAATGATATATATTAATATTTAATGAATATATTTTCTCAGGCCAAAAAGGTGTCAATAAATATACACTTTGCTATAATTTTACATAAAATACACTTAACAATGCTTTTAAATAGCTGTCATTTAAATGCTCAAGGGGAAGAAAATATGTGTTTCTGAAATGAAATGTTAAACACATTAATCTCAGTGCTGCCAGGAGAGGGCTAGCTGAGTTCTTAGCATGGCCCACAAGCCCCGGAGGCCTTGCCAATGCTATTCTCTGCACTGTCATCGCCTCTGCAGTTTTCTGTGGCCTTCACAGCTGTTGACATCCTTTGGCTCCAGGAAGAAGTGGTGCAGCTCCCCCACTTGTGAGCTCCGTACCTGCTTCTCCTGCCTGTCATTGTCTAATTCAGTTTCACCCCCACAACTCCACCCACTCCCCCCCAATATTGTTCTTGCTAGATTTCTCCTGAGCTGAAAATAGCTTACGCAGGAGCCTTTCTTAACCTTCAAATTAGATTAAATTCTTGATCCTTAGGCCAGAATATTCTCTTACAGCACCATGAAAAATTCCTCTGTAACATTAGTCCTAGGTGTAATTTAACATTAGAGCTGCAACACGTTGTTTAGTGGCCAGTGCTCCTTTGCACACCCAGCCTCCTGCAACCCAGATTGTAAGTCCCAGATCTTTCCCACCCTTTCCATCTCCACAAACCCTCACAGCACCCTGTGTAACAGACCCAGGTGCTAGAAATACAATGATATTTTGAAATATTTGTGTAAGAATGAAATTTGAAGAGAATGCATATTCTCCATGAACTCTTTGTAATTCCCTTATATGTGCTGCCTTATTGACTAACTGCAGCTTAATCATGGTGTCAAAAGCCATGATTTGATTATAAAATTTAAACAACTAGAGATAATGTCCAGTTCTTCTAAGACAAAAGATCAAAATGGAAGCTTGAGATGGCCTAAAAGGAAAATAGTCACATGTTTTTAATAGGATACCCAAGATATGCCTGCATAAATTATTCCCTCTTTTAATATTTATTTATTTATTTATTTGGGAGCAGGCAGAGACAGGGAGAGAGAAAGAAACTCCCATCAACCATTTCACTCTCCAAATGCCCACAGTGGCTGGAACTGGACCAGGACTGGAGCCAATACCCAGGCATGATATCCAGGTCTCCCATGTGGATGGCAGGAACCTAAACGTGAGCCATCTCCATGGTCTCCCAGAGTCTACATTAGCAGGAAACTGAAGTCAGGAGCTGGAGCAAGAATTGAACCCAGGTAATCTGCTGCAGGACACAGGCACTTTAACTTCTAGGCTAAATGTCCACTCCACTACTTATGTTTTTCCTGTATCAATTCCATTCTCTTCCAGACACTTCACTGCTTACCACCAAATTGTGGTTCTCTCCATAGATTCATAAGGTTGACCTAAAAATCAGTATCAGTTTTTTCCCTTATATTTCCACAAACCTCAGGTTAAAATGCCCTTGTTAAGCTCCCAGATTGACACCTACTTAGGTATATGACCTAGGCAACCATCTAACACTTAAAGCTTCATTTTGTTCGATCTATGAATATGGTATCATAATAATACCTATGCCATGTCTTTCCTGTGAGGATCAAGTGATATAACATTCATAACTGGAAAATATAAAAAGCATGTAATGAATAGACTGCTTTACTTCTTTTACCCAAAAGTATGCTTGATGTATGTTTAATTGATACATTGCCAATGCACACAGATTTGGCCTTTGATATACTGAAGCCACTCATACCTTCCAGAAAAGCCTCTCCCTAACTGGTGATGGGAAACTTGTCTTTCTTCTAGTTGTTCATTCTAGGTTGTCTGAAGCAAAATTTCCTCCATTCTTTCAGTAGAGAGGAGGAATATTTTCAACATTTTTAATGTGACAGGAAACAGGAAAGCACAAACTTAAAGGAACGAAAAGCTGTGTTTTCTACTAACGACGTCAAGCAGTACTGTTGATTTGACTGGTACCTGCACTGTTGATGATTGAACAGTTTGGCTAACGTGCCTATATGTTCAATTTGCATTAATTTCTTTACATCATAGTCAGATTATTTCAAAAGAGCAGCAAAACATCAAGACTTTTCAGAAGAGTTAAAGGGGCTGGTACTATGGCGTTGTGGATAAAACCACTGCCTGCAGTGCTGGCATCCCATATGGGAGCAGGTTGGAGTCCCAGCTGTTCCACTTCTGATCCAGCTCTCTGCTATGGCCTAGTAGTAGTAGTAGTAGTAGATGTAGTAGTAGATGATGATCCTAGTCCTTGGGTTCCTGCACCCACATGGGAAACCCAGATCCTAGCTCCTGGGTCAGATCGGTGCAGCTCTGGCCATTGTGGTCATCTGGGGGAGTGAACTCGCAGATGGAAGACCTCTCTCTGTCTCTCTCTCTCGGATTCTACCTCACTCTAACTCTGCCTTTCAAATAAATAAATAAATCTTTTTTTAAATAAAGAAGTATTAAAGAAAAAATGTAAGTATTAATACTGCTATACCATCTGCTATTCAAAACAAACCTAAAGAACAATGGAATTTAACATTTTCAGAAAAGTAACATTTTAATACGAAAACATTTAAAATTATGTTAAATTGTGCACATAAAGTGGAAATAAGTTAATGGAAGTAAATTGTATGGTTTCTTGTTATAGTGTAGACAACTCACACGTTAGACCTGGTGTTCCTTTTAGGGTCTTCTGGAGGCGTGCAACCAGATGCAAGCTGGATATCTTTTCCAACCAGACAAACTCTACAATGTTGACTTTGACACTGGAGATAAAAGCATACAGTGCGGCCGACATGTTGACATCTTCAAACTGTGGTTAATGTGGAAAGCAAAGGTAAAAATTTGTCATCTTTTCCTCCTACTACTATGTATTGAAATAGAAAGGAAAAAGGTGAAAGTTATGTTAACTTATACATTTGGAAATAAGTAACTAAATGTTTTTAAGTTTTGGGTTGAAAAAGAATAAATGTGACTGATCCATATAATGACTTGCATTATTTATTTCAGATTGTGACATTTTAGATCAAGGACTAATGGAACATATATGAACCTTAAGGGATTCTTATGATCAGAGCCCCTAAAAGTTGTCAGGAGCCTGACGATACACAGTGTGTAAAGTGGGCAATTTGTAAGAATATAGAGAATAATCAAAATGGAGGGTCTAGGGCCAATCTGACATATCCACATATAAATTGATGTGAAAAGAAGGCATCAAATATTTAAGCCTTACTTATTTGGATCCAAGTATAGATAGACCATTCTATTAATTTTAGAGCATTACTAACCTCGAATTATAGCCCCACTATGTCACTAAATCTTGCTCGACAAAACTACTGTTTTTCATTTTTTCTCCCATTTTTGTAACAAGCTTTTCACATAGTAATTGTGCACATTGTGGAATACAGTAAGACATTCCTTTTTTATTATGAAACTTCAAACCATGTAACACTGTAATGATGAAAACTGTCATATTTCTAATTGCAAATTATCAATCTGTTTCCTCAGATCAAAATTCTATCAGAGTTGGGAGGAAATTGTACATCTCCTACCATTATCAGGCACTCTACCACATTTTAGGAATAAAAATATATTAAAGGGGCCAGTACTGTGGCACAGTGTTTTAAAGCCCCTGCCTGCAGCACTGGCTTCCCATATGGGCACCAGTTTGAGTCCTGGCTGCTCCTCTTCCAATCCAGTTCTCTGCTGTGGCTTTGGAAAGCAATAGAACATGGCCCAAGCTCTTGGGCCCCTGCACCCACGTGGGAGACTCAGAGGAAGCTCCTGGCTTTGAATCAGCTCAGCTCTGGCCATTGTGGTCATTTGGAGAGTGCACTAGCGGAATGGAAGACCTCTCTCTCTCTCTCTCTCTGGCTCTACCTCTCTCTGTAACTCTGTCTTTCAAATAAATTAATTAAATCTTATATATATATATATATATTTACACACATACACACACACACACACATATGCATGGATATTGTAGAAACATAAACCTATCTGCACCATTTAAAAACACCTCCCTCCATCTTCACTAATGGGAATTGTTAATGAGTAAAGTTACTTGATGTTAACACACATTCTCAGATGCAAACTTTATACCCTTATTTCTGACCTAACCAGTCGAGGCCAGCAGAGAAAGTCTTTCCAAAGATTAAATGCCACTAGCACGATGTGTTCTGCACTTTCATCCTGGCACTTACGTGCCATGTTTACCTTAAATAATTGGCATGCGTTGAGAAAGCAGCTTCTGTCATTTTCTGCTGGTACTCTATAGAGAAATGGACATTAGGTTCTGTGCAGGTGAAAACTTTGACATGATCTAGCAGAATTTTTAATATGTTACTGGTGCTACTATTTTATTTAAGTCAAATTTTTTGTCAAAATCAACTACTGCAAAACCAGTGAAAACATGAATCCGCTGTGGTTAACCTGATACATAGCCACCATTGTCATGTGGGAAGCAGTACACTGTTACCCAGGATCACATCTAGGAATTTCACTGATAATTTTCATTATTTGAAGATATGCTTTCTGTAAATTCTCTTCATGGAGATTTTTAAATAACCAACTTGGAAATTAGGATAAACTGTTTTAAAAGTCTTTCAAGTCACCCCTTTTCGGCAGGAAGCAGCTAGAGTGATCATCGCCCAGTTCCCCCATGTTACATAAGTTAGTTTCAGTCTTCAGGAGATGGGAATGTGAGGAGTCAGATGGATAATAGGCAGTCAGGGTGGTCCCCTGGTAGAAATTTGGAATAGGGAGATGCCTGCTCCCCCCAAGAGCTTATCTTTAGCAGATCAAACTGTCCTGCTTCCTTAAGAGTCTCAGTCTTTAGCAGTATAAAGTGTCGTGCTTCCTTGGGAATCCCCAACTTATCATGAGGACAGCAAGGGAGTGGTGACTGTATCTGAGCTCACAGTTTATTGCGGAAACAGGTTCCGTATCCCACCCTTCTGGATGATTCTTTGATTTATCATCAGCAAACCAGAGAGGATAAGGGATTGTGAATCAGGTCTTTTGATGGTTTTTGTCCTAGCCTGGTAACAATGCTAATCTGATTGTCAAGTTTTTTTCCCTTCAAAGTTGTACTTAAAAATTAGAATGCCCTGGGGCCCTATATGTTTCAGTCTCTTTTCACAGGCAGAGTGGACAGTGAGAGAGAGAGATAGAGAGAAAGGTCTTCCTTTGCCGTTGGTTCACCCTCCAATGGCCGCCATGGCCAACGCACCACACTGATCCAATGGCAGGAGCCAGGTGTTTCTCCTGGTCTCCCATGGGGTGCAGGGCCCAGGGACTTGGGCCATCCTCCACTGCACTCCCTGGCCACAGCAGAGAGCTGGCCTGGAAGAGGGGCAACCGGGACAGAATGCAGTGCCCTGACCAGGACTAGAATCCAGTGTGCCGGCGCCACAGGCGGAGGATTAGCCTAGTGAGCCACAGCGCCGACCTAGGGTTCTTTCCTTTCTTGGAACCCCCACTCCATGCCACTCCAGCTAGAGGTCTTTGATTCTAATACTTTTAATTCTAAAAAAAAAAAGTTTCAAGTTCAAATATTTGCAGCCACACTGTCTGTACCGACCTTTCAGTCACTGAAGATCAGATACCCCTTTGTCTGCTTCTGAACAGGTTTTACTGGGGTAAGTATTTTCATGAACCTCCTCAACTTTCACAGGAGGTTACCAGTCCCCTCATAGCATAGCTCCTGGTCAAATCCTATAGCTTGACTTGGCTTCAGTGAAAGTATACATACCCCTAAAATTTTATCACGAGATTCAACCTGGAACTCACAGATATTTGAGGTTTTTTAAAAATTATGTGTATCATAGACATTGTATAGTATTATATAAATATTTGTATAATAAATATCCATGCATGTATATGATTATCTAAAGGACTATATATTTAATGTAATTCCTTATGAAATAAAGTAGTGGCATTCAAACTTTTTACCAATACTCACAGTAAATATGCATTTTATGTACATATACATACCACAAAACACAATCAAAACAAAATGTTTAGAAAAAACCCTCATAGCACTATAATGTATGAAATTTTTTGATAATTTCTATTCTACCCAATCTCACCAGAGAAAAATATCAGATTGTAATCCATTTAATTGGTTCTATTGCCCACTAATGGGCTATGGCTTATAGTTCAAAAGATACTGTTATGTAAGTTCAGCCTGGATTAAATCCATCCATCAAAGAATTATTACCTGAACCACTTTGTTTGACCTTTTATGAAATGATACTATGGATGAATTTTTAATTTCTATATTTATTTCAGTAAATATGAGATTTCTAGATTAAAAATCAATGATTTCCTTACAAAATATTATATCACTGGTTTTCAACGCCACCCCATTTCCCCCTTGGGGCATCACCATGACAGCGTGTCATCCTACAGGGACAAAGGGACTAACCACCATACAAAAGGACAAGAACCTCAAAACTATGCCACGCTGATGTCACCAAGGGAAGGCAGCTGAATGCAGACACAGAATGGTCATTTTTTCACGTGGGATTCTTATATAACAAATTCAATAACGTGCATAGAACAGTAAGCCATAGTGCCTACTGCATGGTGGAATTAACAAATAAAATAATGTGTGTAAAGCACTAAACCGTAGTGGAGTTAACAATATTTTCTTCTCAATTATATTTTAAAAACGTACAGGTAACAGTGTGCAATTTTACCTTATACAACCTGTTTTGTGATTTATATACATTGTGGGATTTTTAAGCCTGGCTAAGAAGCAAGTGCATTATCGATAGAAGAAGATAGTTCCAAAAGTTCATGGAAAATGTATATTATGAAATAACTATGTATGGATTTCAAAAAATTTTGTCATAAAAGTAAACTTTTTTTAATTCCTTTTTTCCATGAACTTTTTGTGATACCTACAAACTATACAGGCAAGCATACCAGGCATACTTTGTAATATTTATCTAATTCTTCAAACCATTGTAAATTGTGTTTAAAATTCTGGTTTTAGATGATGGAAAACTCATGTAAAAATATTGAGCAAATATTTGTAGATCTTAGCAGTCCAGGGTTAGAGTGCTCAAGTAGCTTTACTCCAATTCTACACACCATAGACAGTAAAAGCAAGTGGAGAAAACAGAAAAAGTTTTTTGTGGTATTTGTGACCATACATAATATTTACTATTGTAGGATAATAATTAACCATATGTTACTTATTTAAATAATTATATTAAAGAAAATATACTACATCTCAGAAACTAATCAATGTAATTTAAAGAAACTTACTTGAATTGATCCTTTGATTTATTTTAAAATTAAAGAAACTTACTTGAATTGATCCTTTGATTTATTTTAAAATTATAGGGAACCTGTGGCTTTGAGGAACAGATCAACAGATACATGGAACTTGCAAAATATTTCTATAAGGTTTTAAAGGAAAAAGACAATTTTCAGCTTGTTTTTGATGCAGAGGTAAGGGTTCTTGAGTGTTCCTTCTAGTATCTACTTACCTCATACCTATCAACTATCATAAGCATTTAATTTTGCTTATGTTCAAATCAGTCAGCTTATAAAACCAATTTTTATCTTTTTTATTATTTATTTGAAAGACAGAGTTACAGAGTTCTGTTTGCTAGTTCAGTCCTCAAATGGCCACAATGGACGGAGCTGAACCAATCCAAAGTCAGGAGCCAGGAGCTTCTTCTGGGTCTCCCACATGGTGCAAGAGCCCAAGGACTTGGGCCATCTTCTACTGCTTTTCCAGGCCATAGCAGAGAGTTGGATCGGAAGAGGAGCAGCCAAGACTCGAACCAGCTCCCATATGGGATACTGGAGCTTCAGGCCAGGGCTTTAACCCACTGCACCACAGCACAGGCCCCATTTTTTATCTAAATTCCATGTCTTAGAAGCCAGGGACCTAGAATTCTTAAATTGATAATTATATTCAGTTTTTAAAATTTTTAAATAACTAAAATTGTTCTATTTTAAATGTTTTTCTGATTTCTCTATCACTTCACAAGTAATTTAGCTGTTACTAGCTTTTTGGTTTTTGGTTTTTTTGCATGTCAGAGTATGCAGTTGGATTTCTGGTTGGTGGATGACATATAAGAAGTTATGGCTTAAATTATTTAGTAATCTTCGGTAAATCTTTATTGAAGCAGAAAGTAGATATTAATGGAAAATTGTATCTATCATCCTGTTCAAGGCCCAGTCATCCCTCCACTGCATTACATCATTCTACAAAGAATAGTTTTGGGAAACAAATACAACCCATAGCTGTTGCTCTAGTGAAGCAATGTTACCTCCTGGGTTTCTGGAACATTCTGTGTACTAACGTTTTCAGTTGTACTCCCTCGAATCCATTTCCATCTCTCAACACATGATCTTTCTCAAACACACAGTTGGCTCTGTCTCTCCTTATTTCTTTAAAATAAGCATTGATCATGGGAACGATAAATGGTTTTGGTTTAAGTAACTAATAGACCTCAGTATGGGGAAGATGGTGTACATAGATGTGAAAACCATCAAGGACTGTGCTAGGAGAGGTTGTTGAAGAAAGCCACAGCCACAGCCAGGCTGGGCACTCTATGAGGAAAGCGCCTATTTCTTCATAAAATGATTTATTATTTATTTGGGGGCGGGGGAGGAGAGAGAGAGAGAGAATATGAATCTTCCATCACCTGGTTCATTCCCCAAATAGGCAGGTCTGGGTCAGGTTGAAGAGAGGTGCCTGGAATTCATCTGGGTCTCTCACATGGATAGGAGGGGCCCAGGTACCTGGGCCATTTTCTGCTGCCTTATCAGATGAATCATCAGGGAGCGGGGGCAGAAGTAGAGTGGCTGAGACACAAACCAGCAGTCTGCTATGGGATTCTGACATTGCAAGTGATGGCTTAACCCACTGGGCCATGACACCAGCTCCTATTTCTTATATCTCTTTACTCAGTTCCTGGCATGCTTTAAGATCTACATTAAAAGCTATTTTTAAATATGTTAAAAATCACAGAGCCACTGCCTCTCATGCCAGTATTCCCTTTGGATGCTGGTTCTAGTCCCTAATCCTCCACTTCTGGTCTAGCTCCCTGCTAATGCACCTGGAAGGACAGAAGAAAATGACCCAAGTGCCTAGGGCCCTCCACCCTTGTGAGATACCTGGATGGAGCTCCAGGCTTCTGGCTTTTATCTGGACCAGCCTCAACCACTGTGGTCATTTGGGGAGTGAAGGAGCGGATAGAGGATCTCCCTCTGTGTAACTTGCCTTTCAAAAAAAATAAAAAATAAATCTTCAAAAACATTAAAAATTAAATGCATTAGAATATTTCAGAAATAAGTTACTACAAGTTAAGTGAAGTGGGCTTTATTATATTTGTAATATTTTATCTTTGTTTTAGCCTGAGTTTACCAATGTCTGCTTCTGGTATTTACCACCAAGACTTAAATATATTACAAAAGGTTTGGAAAGAGAGCAAGAACTCCACAAAGTAAGTGTTTTTATTTGTTTGGTTGCTTTATTTTAATTTTAATATTGACTTTTTAAATAATGTTTCTGTGCAGTTTGGTGGGTTAGTGAGTGGTATGCCTGTGGTCTCAACCCTTTGGCTTAATAGTATCATGAGGTGACAGAAATCCCTATTCATCATTCACACTGCAAACTAATCCAGTCTTCATTTATATATCCAAAAATACTTGAGAGCCTATTATGCACTAAGCTGACTTTCCTACCCTTTGGTTAATCTATTTATTAACGAATATTTGCTGAGTGTTCCAACAAGAATTAGGGGTATTAAAAGAGTAAGACAAAGCCTTAGTCCTAAACTAGTTATAAGGCTTGATAGGAAAAAAAGACAAGAATGTATGTAGCTACAATTCCAAAGAGCAGTGGGAGAGATATTTAGAGACTGTTTTCACATTTGAAATGTGGATCAAAAAGTCATCTGAGCAAGAATCTGAAAGATAAATAGTTACAGATGCGCTAACAATACTGAAAAATTCAAATTAATGTCATAACAATGAGAATATTCCACCATTACCTTAAATACACACATTAAATACTACACATTATGCACCCATGTGTTTGTAGTGTTTGCCTACTGTAAGTGTGCACTGTATGTATTCACTTTATAATATCAGCACCACTGTTTGAATTATGCTAAGATTACAACCATTCATTTTAGGTAATTTGAAATGCTCCAGGAAAAGTTGAACATGAGTTATCTGATAATACTGTTAAAGAGCATCACATTTTTTTAAATTATCAGTAAATTTCATTAAAATTATTAATTGTAAGAGAAAACAGAGATTTGTAGTTGTTAGCTTATAGCAGTACTCTAAGTAAATATTTTATGGTTTGATAAAGGTATTAAGTGAAGCACTTAATTTTTTTTTTTCTAAACATGTAAATGTGATCTTCTACTAGGGGAATAACCAGTAGTTGAGAGATAGTGAGAGGGACGTTCGTAATGACTGAGCAAGCTGATTCCTTGAGGGACACACAGACATGGAACCACAGTGTGCCTGATTGTAGTCCTGCACATGCCCCTGCACGGAGGCCTGGGGAGACCACAAAGCAATTTTTTTAATAATACTATAGACAGTGAATAATCTCTGCTACAGCATTATTATTTAATTAGTTAAAATAATATATCTAGGTGGCGCCATGGCTCACTAGGCTAATCCTCCACCTGCGGTGCCGGCACCCCAAGTTCTAGTCCTGGATGGGGCGCCGGTTCTGTCCCGGTTGCTGCTCTTCCAGCTCTCTGCTGTGTCCCGGGAGGGCAGTGGAGGATGGCCCAAGTCCTCGGGCCCTGCACCCACATGGGAGACCAGGAGGAAGCACCTGGCTCCTGGCTTTGGATTGCCGCAGCTCCGGCTGTAGCAGCCATTTGGGGGGTGAATCAATGGAAGGAAGACCTTTCTCTCTGTCTCTCTCTCTCACTGTCCACTCTGCCTGTCAAAATATATATGTATATTATATATTAATTTTTATTTGGTGTCCTTCTAGATATATATGTATGAGATATAAGATATGTCTATCATATATATATATATATATATATATAGAAGGACACCAAATAAAAATTCTCTGTTAATAGAAAGATACACATACAAGCATACAGGAGGGATCCTCAAAAAGCTCATGGAAAATGCTTATAAAGAAACTACACCTGGATTTCAGAACATTTTGCACCAGAATGACCATATCAGTTAATCCCATTTCCCCATGAAATTCTGAATTGCTGCTGCTGTGTGTGTGTGTGTGTGTGTGTGTGTGTGTTTGCTGCTGCACTGCCCTTGGACAGACTTAGACAAAAATTCCAAACATTACCTGCCTTTCCTTAATGCCTTCCAGCACACTTGTAATATTTTATGAGTTTGGTATTTGTGAATCATGGTGTAATGAGACCTGCACTGTGAATATAGAACACTCTATTTTTTTTCCTATGCTAAACTACTTAAAAATTATTCCTGACAGTTTTAAATTGCCTGTAATTTACCTGGAGCTAACAATAGTTCTGCACTTACGTATCCATCTTGAAAGTAAATGAGTATTGACTTGTAAAATTTCCTTTTAATAATATTTGCATTTACACACAGATAGCCCCAAAGATTAAAGCGCGGATGACAGAGGAAGGCACTGCCATGATAAGCTACCAGCCATGTGGAGATAAAGTGAATTTTTTCCGGATGATCTTTTCTAACCCCGCCACGAGACAAACAGATGTTGACTATCTTATTGATGAAATGGAAAGGATTGGGAAGGACTTATGATACTTCAGTGTGAAGCTGAACAACTTTCCATAATCTATTTCTAAAGATAAGAGGAAAGGAGCTCTCAAAGTGATCTTTTCTCATTTAGAACTTTTAATTATCTTGTTGATGTCATTTAAGATAAAAGGAGATCCAGTTATATATATAATGTATATATGTGTTAGTATATTTGATATTTTCATTCACTGAAAAGATTTGAGCATCTGTTAAATGACATGGACTTAGGGTGGTACATCCTTCTATAAGAAAGGCCGAGGAATCCTTCCCTAATAAGGACAAAAGTTGAACTGTGGCGGTTGCAGCAGCTCAGTCACGCATAGACCTAAGTGAGTAGACCCCTGGCCACATCATTTGCGCCATCGTTTATGGCAGTGCTCCGTCTCTGACCACATTACAATCACACAGGCACTTTTCACGTTTTGAGACAATTAGGATGTGTACAGTGCTCTTTTCTTTGCATATGTTCTGTATTATGGAGCAGAGGTGGAGGGAAGAAATGGCAGAGGCTGACATATCTGCATTTTGATCTTTGTGTTTTATTTACAAGTGACTCTAGCTTGCACCTATTTTCTGCTTCAACTTTTTTTCTCTGTACCACCATTCTCATGCCCCTAATGATACAGCAGTGACATCCTTTTATAATTCTACACAAATATGTTAGCTGTGCTTCAGAGACGGAAATTGTGTATCTTCTTATTGATGATGTAGTTGGCATTTCTCTGTCCATGTTTTCAGGAAATGAGAGCTAGCACAAGTTCAATATTTAGTGTGGGCTCAGCTTGCTGAGCCTCTTAACATGCAAGATCACATTTAATTCTCTATTAATTATATTATTTAAATGATTTATTCTCCACTTTATGAATAAGAAGATCAAGGCCGAAAGAGCTTAAATAATGTTTCTAACATGATGCTACTGATAGGCAATAAACCCCAAGTCTGCAGTGAGCCAGGTTTCTTTTCAAATATGGATAACAAGACTGCCAGATAGCTTGCTGAAGTTCACATGCACTACCTACTAGATGAGCTGTTTGTCAAATTGTTTGACTTGAGTAGATCTCATTTCTCTGCTTGTAAAGTAGGAATAATAGGATGCCTCTCACAAGGGAGATTGTCAGGACAATCAGGTTAACTATTCTATAAAATTTTAATCACTTTGCATGCATTTGCTTCTCATATTTAAATATTACTGCATTCAATAGGGTGATGGACTAAAAAACATGTACTTAAGTTAAAATAAAATTGCATACCAAGGCTTTGTCTTTGTAAGTCATTCAAGGTACATGCAGATATTGCCACAGTTCGTCGTCACAGGGGACCACGTGCCCTTTGTTCTCCCAGCCATACTGAATGTTCAAATTACACGTTTGAGAATGTGTGTATTTTGTTTAAAAAGCATGTAGACTGAAATAGAAAATCTTTTCAATTATTCTCTGACAAATAAGACATTTCCTGTCTAAAGTTTTTCTCAAAGAAAATGCGTAATTGACTGTTCTGCAGACGTTGGTAACCTGCCCCTCTGTGAAATAAGGGAATACCAGTTGAATTATCTAAGTGCAGGTCTCCCTTAATAAGGGCTACTGTTCTAGACAGAGAGCTTGTTTTAGACATGGTCTGCTTGGCCAGACTTGTTAACACAATCAGTTTCTTCCTTAGGCATTAAGTATGATCACCTCATTACATAACAGTTATCAAACATGGAGTAAGCATTTCCTTACCAAAATTACACCTCAATAGGATGGCACCATGGCTCACTAGGATTCTAGTCCCGGTTGGGGCACCGGATTCTGTCCCAGTTGCTAATCTTCCAATCCAGCTCTCTGCTGTGGCCCAGAAGGGCAACGGAGGATGGTGCAAGTCCTTGGGCCCTGCACCCACATAGGAGACCAGGATAAGCACCTGGCCCCTGGCTTCCAATCCACCCAGCGCACTGGCAGTAGCAGCCATTTGGGGGGTAAACCAATGGAAGGAAGACCTTTCTTTCTGTCTCTCTCACTGTCTAACTCTGCCTGTCAATAAATAAATAAATAAATAAAAATTACACCTCAATTATCATTTTCATTAATAAAACTCCTAAATAAGAATGTGTTAAAGCGATAGCACTATTTCAATAGAATATCCGTATTATGCTCATTACATACCCTGCTTAAAACCATGTTCTTCCAATATCAATGCCACGAATAAGGAAGTGTAGTTTCTAGAAATCTACAGTCCATCCAATGTATTCGTTAGTGTTCTGTTCACAATAAAGAATTTAATAAGAATTGCTGTTTATATTATTTTGTATATTTTTAATTATTTGGGCACTTATTTTGCATGCTGCTGAACACTTCCTGCATTTAAATTAAAGACAGGATAATCTTCATTAACAAATGTTATCCTCTCCCAACTTGATCCTCTATTTTTTTTTTTTCAGATTTCACGGTCAGTCAAAATTATTTTAGCCTTAGAACATTTAACCATTGTTTGCACAATATGGTCTCTTGACCAAGGATTGATTACATGCAATAATGTACATTTGTCTTCTACATCTTACAGAAATTCTATTTTTTAAAGCTCATTTTGAGATTTGATTGTTTTTTTTTTCTGCCAGGCAGAGTTAGACAGTGAGAGAGAGAGACAGAGAGTTATAGACAGTGAGGACAGTGAGAGAGAGACAGAGAGAAACGTCTTCCTTCCATTGGTTCACTCCCCTAATGGCTGCCACAGCCAGCACTGTGCTGATCCGAAGCCAGGAGCCAGGTGCTTCCTCCTGGTCTCCCCTGTGGGTGAGGGCCCAAGCACTTGAGCCATCCTCCGCTGCCCTCCCAGGCCACAGCAGAGAGCTGGACTGGAAGAGGAGCAACCAGGACCAGTACCTGGTGCCCCAACCGGGACTAGAACCTGGGATGCTGGCGCCACAGGCGGAGGATTAGCCAAGTGAGCCACGGCGCTGGCCCCGAGATTTGATTATTCTTTATAGCACTTATCTATATTCTTGAGAAACAGTGTTTTTTCTTCTTGCTGCTTATTGAATACTTTATTTAGTAGATGGTTAAGCTTGTGATTATAACGAAAATTAAAAGCATGTCATTGTAAAAATTAAAAGACAAACAAAAGGAGGGAGGGTGGGCATAAGGCAGGAAGGGAGGGTACGGTGGGAAGGATCATTATGCTCTTAAAACTGTATATATGAAATACATGAAATTTGTTCCCTTTATATAAATAAAAAACAAAATAATAAAAAATAAACATAGTCTCTACAAAGGCTCATTTCTTGCTGCCTAGTTTAATAAAAAAATTCTCAAAGAGATATTACTAAGTTCATTGGTTTCCTTTTGAACTTTCCCCAAACATATTACTACTTCTAACCCCAAGAACAGCATTCATTTAACTGACAGAGATAACAGCCAGAGCAGTGTTGTGTTCAGAACTAGGTAGGGCATAGTAGACTAAAGAAAGGAAAGATTTTTTAAAAAAACTCATTTGTTAAAAGTAGTCCTATAGAATCATCCATAAGATACAGAGGAAGGCTTGAAGCCGCCAACATTTAAATGGGGCTCAGAGGTTCTGAAAGATTTAAGTTGTCATAACTCTCGCAGAGAATGTGTGGTAGTGATAATCAGAGTGGTATGGAAATTCCAAAATGCTTTAAGTAGCAGTTTGATATTATGAAGAAGCACATAAGGAAAAGATTCCTGCTGCAAGCGGCTCGAGAATTATGGGGCCTTAAATCCAGCATTTTGACAACTTGGAACATTAAAATGAGTTAAATAGAGGAGTCACAGAATTGAATTTTATTGTGAAGGGAAAGAAAAAGACATTGATTTTGACGGCAGTTTCAAGGCTGTGCTCATGAAGGAGCAAGGCTTGAGCACAGAAAATGGGTTTTAGAGGCTAGTGCAGTAATAAAGAAGAGAACAGCTGATAAGGGCTTGGGGGTGCGGGGCACTAGGGAGTCACAAGTTATTTAGGAAGCAAAATTGCCCAAATGCATTAGAGCGAAAATGAAAAGCTTACAGTCTGATGTTTCTGGCTCCAGAGACTGGCTACACCTCAACACCAGTGAAATCTAACGGGGAAGCCACATTGGCCCATACAACTAGTCTATTTAGCTTGTAGGTGGTAAACAAACTGGAATCTAAGACTTTCAGGGCATGGCTCTCTGAAAATTACCCCTTAGGCTATGTGAGTATCTGAGTTTAATGTAGACTATTTCCTGATGAAAGTTTCAAGTAGTGTAGCATCACAGATCACCTAGAGACTTCGTAGGACAAGCTGGAGCACGGAGCATCCTGAACCAGCAAGAGTGAACCTGGAGAGCTGTCCAGCAGGTCTCCGTTTCTCCAGGCTTCGTGACCGCTCGCACCCTTGACATTCTTAGTAAAGCCCACTAAAGTCCTGATGAGTATGATTGAATAATAATATCCATGTGTTATTTCAGTGATTATCTGGAAAAGAGATGGAGAAGTAAGTTTGACGAATATGGTCTAGGTTAACCCTTGGAGTATTTTCAGTGGAGCCCTGTAGATGTGGGGCCAGCATGAAGAAAAGCCAAGGCACTGGATGGACTCGCAATAGTCCCTCATCTGCTGAATCGCGATGCTACCCATCCTCAGACTCTTCATTTTCTGTCTAGCTTCTCAGATGTCTTTACTGATACACCGAGTGTCGTCTGCTCGCCTTAAAGCAACCTTCGCAAGAAGCTTCCTTAATAAAGCGATAATGGTTATGCTGATAGGTTATTGAACCTATCTGCATGAGTAGGAGATATCCCATTAAAACATACTTTTATGCTTTCTGACTAATGAATATCCATTTATAAAGAATGCTGATACATGTTCAATTGCAAGTTAATTGCATTTTTAACAATCTTTTTTACTGTAGTATTTTATTTATTGTTTTTTTGTCCTATTATTATTATTATTATTATTTTACTTTTTTAAAGTGAACAAATTTCCTGTATTTCATGTATACAGATTTAGGACTGTAGTGATACTTCCCACCTTCCCTCCTCACCCCCT